TCAACGTGTTGTCGTTCGTCGGGAGCGAGAAGAGCGGGTCCGGCGTCACGCAGGGACTCAGCACGACGTTCGCGGACGCGAGGCAGTCGAGGGCGACGAGCGGGTTGCCCGCGCCGAGGAAGGTCAACGTCAAATCCCCGGGCCGGAGGCCGGACGTCGCCGCCTCCTCGAAGTGCGACACGCCGTCGCTCCAGCGCCGCGCGGGGCGCTCGACGGCGACGGGCCGCTGGCGCCTCGACGGCGCGCGCGCGAGGGCCGCGACGATCTCCGCCGCGGACGAGTCGCTGACGACGAGGACGTGGACCCTGCCCTTCGTCGCCGCTTCGCGGTGCTGGAGGTCCGCGGCGACGCGGAGGGACGCGCGGAGCGCTTCCGCGGCGTCGCGCGCGCCCCGGTCGTTCGCCTTGAGGTCCCCGAGGCGCACGTGGATGGCGACGCGGAGCTTCGGGGGCCGGTCCGCCGTGCCGCAGGTGCCGACGAAGCCTCCGCGGTCCACGGCGTGGTACGCCTCCGCGATCGCGGGCCACGCGAACGCTTCGTCGACGCGCGTTTCTACCTGTGTGGATTCCAAACCTTCAACCCGACTTCAATGTGCGCGTAATCGAACGGTTTGGACCAGACTCTTTCGCTGTGCTTCGAGAACTCGACGAGAGCAATCGATTCGTCCAAAAATCAGCCGAATCGACTTCGATTTGACCGAGCTAGAGAGTTCTGAAGTTTGGTGGGGACCCCCCAAACCAGTGGGTGGAATCCACACTGGTTTCTACCGCCCCCAGGTCCGCGTCCATGGCCTGGACCGTGGCGTTGAGGGCGGCTAGAGTTTGGCGGTGCGCGTCGACGGCAGTCGTGACGTCGCGGAAGGAGTCCCCGCCGACCGACCGCAGGCCGTCGCGCCTGTTTGTGATCTCGACGACCAGTTCCTCGAGGCGGTCGCGCACGGGCGCGAGCAAGCTCTCGACGCCGACGTCGGCGGCGTGGCGCGACGGGAGCGTATGGAAGCCGAACCATTCGTCCAGGTCGGGCACGAGGAAGCACTCGAAGTGGTCCCTGAACAAAGCCGCGCCCGTCGGGAACCGGTCGACGTAAAAGGGGATGAGCTTCTTGTCGACGCGCCGCGTGTGGAGCTTGAGCCGCTCGTACGGCTTGAGCGTCGCCAGGAACGCCTCCGACCAGACCACGGAGTCCCGCGCGTGGCAGTAGAGGGACGGCGCGTAGCCGTCGGCGATGCCTCGAACGTCCCGGAGGTAGGCCCCGGTCCGCGACACGTTTTCCCCGAAGAGGTGCGCGCCGCGCCGCGCGACGCCGCCGCCCCCGTTCATCGCGGATCGCATCGCGCGGATGTACTCTTTGATGACGTCCTCCGCCGCGTGGCCCAGCCCGTCGAACCGCTTCGCTCCTAACGGCGCGTAGCCGG